ATATCTTCTCAAGATATTCCTTTTTGGCCCTGTCCGTGGCTCTTTCCAATTCATTCCTCAGTCTCCTGTACTTCCTCCTGCCTTCTTCATTGTTGACATTCTTCCATTTCCTTCGCTCCTCCATTTTACTCATCATCTCCTGTGTAACCCATGGTTTTCTTGCTATCTTCTCAACTTTACCAACCAATTCGCTTATAGTATCTAACATGCATCCTTTTATGTTGTTCCACTGCACTTCAGCATTTCCGCTTTCACCTTCAGTTGCACTGAGTTTATCTTCCAGAGTCTCCTGCACACTTTGTCTTTGAGCATACAACTTCTCCAAATCCCATCTAGGTCTGTGCTTTTGAAATCTTATAATTTTCTTCAACCTGGTTCAGAACTTGGCAACCAGTAGGTTGTGGTCAGAGTCAATATCTGCCCCAGGCAGCGTCTTCACATCCTTCACACTGTTTCTGAATCGATGTTTCACAAGGATGTTGTCCAACTGATGTCTCCTCCAATCCCCAGGTGCCTTCCATGTGTAAATTCTTCTCTTTGGCTTCTTGAACCAAGTGTTGGTGACAATCAAGGATTAAATCGAGAATTTGTGAAACCATTGCACTGAAACATACCCATAGCCATAATTAATTCCATGGAAGAGAGTCCTCTTGACAAGCTAACAGCTGCTCAACTACTCAAGAAACTTCCAGCATTTTATGGTACCATAAGGGTTCACTACTGTGTTTGTAACACAGCAGTCATTATCCTGATCCAGATGACTCCAGTCAACACCCTCTCATTCTGCTTGCTTAAGATCCAATTTAATTGGATCCTCATCTCTGCGTAGGTCTTCCAAGTGGTCTCCTTCCATCAGGATTCTCTATGCCTAAAGCTGACAGACTGGCACAACTATATGAGAATGCATAAAGATACATATTTGGAGCTGTTGTGGCAATTTATCCCATTATAAAAAAGAAAGACAGTATAATGAGAACAGCAGTTATTTCTCACAAGCTGCTACCTCATATTGTTTGCTACATGAAGAAATTATCAGGATTCAGAGTTCTCCATACTCATAAAAATGCAACAGAGAATGCACATGTGGCCAGCTTGAGAGAATGGAGGATAAACTGAACATTATGGGAGGAATTTATCTGGCACAAACAGGGGAGAATGACACTGTATGATATTATGAAAGACATATGTAATGATATAAAAGGAGAAATTTGTATTTGACATTATCTGAAAAGATGTCAGTAATATGATATGAAAGGTGTATGAGGCAGTATACAGTGTGATTCTTAATTACCTTAAATACTAGTATAAGCACCGTGTTCCACAGTCATACATAAACACCAGCAGTCATATATATGGCTGCAACCACTTTGTCATCGAGGCAGGGCAACAGGAAATGCGGGAAAGAAAACAGACAAATATCAAAGTTGTCGATAAAAAGTTTATTGGCTGCCAACAGAACAGCATCCAACCAGCTGCAGCATGAGAAAAGAAAAGTAGACAATGCAGTTGAGGTTAAAGACGTTATTTGATGCCAATAGAACAGCGTCTGGCCAGTTGCTGACGGTTTACAGAAGATACTCAAATGGTCCACATGTTGTATGTGAAATGGAAAAAAGGGCCAATCATGCAATACCCTCACCACTGTTCCCTGGGAAATGTGATGATGGGCCATTCACCTGGAACTAGTATGGGGGGACCGTTCCACAGCATGCAGAACATCTTCCACATCAATGCACCTGTGACTTCATGATCTTCGTGATATAACTTCATTTGTCATATCATTATGCCTATGACCTGTTTCTCACAAACCATGTTCCAGAGAAATTAATGTCCTGCGATTTTGATGCCGTCATTGTATATACCTTTCAGTGTTACAAATTGTTATGATGCCCTTCTCTGTATAATGATAAAAGGATTTGGGTAATAAATGAGTGTACTTTCAAAACAGTAACAGACATAAACATGAAATAACCTGAAAACAGAATGAAAACTCATATTTTCGTTGGCAACACTGAATATTCAGTGGTGAATGGTGCTCTGATCACTATGAAGGGACTGTGAGGAATTTTTGGACAAAAACCGGCTTTGATAGGATGAGCAGGACCCAATCCTTGGCCCTGCAAATCCCTGGACCTTACTCCATGTGATTTCTACCTGCAGGGGTATATAAAAGACCAAGTATACCAACCTCCAGTGCCTCAATATGTGTAAAAACTGCATTCTTTACCTGCATACCTACCTCACATATGGCACATGTGAATGGAATACACCTGTAATGAATTCTTTCCAGAACTTGCTGTTTGTAGTATGTGTATTAAAAAGACAGTTTGTACACAACTAATGATGCAAAAAGTGAGAGTGAAATAATTTTGCAGGACATATGAGCAATTTATAAATGAATATCACCGTTTGGATATGTGCCATAAGAATCTGGACAATCTGAGTGCTCTCTGGGGGAAGAACATTGGCTCCTGTCCATGGGAATCACAGAATTTCAGTCTGCAACTGGAAAGCCTCTGTGGTGAGTATATGAGTACATAAATGATATATGTAGACTGCCTCACAGGTCATTCTATGCTGGTATGTTAACCAGTGATGGGATGGTAAGATGTGACAAACCTTCCATAACAGGGAATACCATGAACAGCTGAATCTGAGACTGTATGGACCTAAGAGGGACGAAGCAAGCAAGGGAATGGAGGGTTTCACATAATGTACTTTGTAAGTTGAATAGGTCAACGAAAAGGACATTATGATGGGCTTCACATGTATTTTATATTTTAGAAATGAGGAATAAGTATAGATTTTATGAGAATTTTTGGAAGGTTAAAGAGAAGATGGGAGGATAATAAAAAGCTAGATCTTAGGGAGTACATTAGGAGAGTGTGAACTGAACTGGACAGGCACACCAGTGTGTTTAATAACTGCTTTTGGTATTAGTACTTCCCACTTGACCTAATCATTCTGCACTATGGCCCTGGGGTCAACTCAGCCTCTAATAAAAATGAGTACCAGGAATTTTCCTGGGGGTAAAGGGCAGCCAGCGCGTAAGACTGAGAACCTTGTCGCCATGTGAGCGGACTGTTTAGAAAATGTGCGAGCCTTGACGTCTCACAACCCTGTGGACCTCCAAGGTCTGTTACATGGATAGCTTTTTACTTCCCTGCCTTAAAATCTGAATACAAGTGAACTGTAGCAGAATTCATATCTCCTGACGTTTGGCGAGAAAGAATACAGAGTTCCCATGGCGTTGCCAGTGTCATCCTGCAGCAGCAGTGTTAGGAAACTGATAACGGAGAAGACTGAGTTGGAATAGAACTGAACTGTTTCGTAAAAGTAAATCATCATACGAGCTGAACTTATATACGCGATTTTTTCCTCCGTAAGAGAATTTTTTTCTTTTTGTGAGTAGGGAATTTGCCTGTCATAATTTCTCGGAAATTGCGGTTGCGTGTTTCCTTAGTGTGCCCTCGCTTTTAGAGACATCCAGATAAGGTAAAGTTGTCCCTGTGCTTAATTAATTAAGCACTACGCCATGAAGGCTTATGGGGAGTGTATGTATAGATCCCCGGCTTCATTTTTCTTCAGACATCTCTCAAAGAAATTATCAAAGAAACTCCGTGGCTGAAGTCCGTAAGCGAACTATACCGACCGAGCGACCGCCATTTATCGGCGAAGTTAGTGCCAACTTTAACGAATAGAGGGTGCCACGTGGTCAGCGCAACGAACCCCCACGGCCGCTAATTTCGGTTTTCAAGACAGGAACTGCTATTTCCTTGAAATAGCTCAATTATCCTCACGAGGCTGAGTGGACCCCGTTCCGGACCCACTGCTTCTCAGAAAATCTGGTAGCGCTGACAATCGAACCTGGGAACTCTGGATCTGTAGCCAGGAACTCTAAGCACTAGACTAGGGTGCGTGCACACCGAGCGCGCTTCGCATAGTGTGTCGCGTGTTGCTCAACGCTAAGCATAGTGCTAAGCATAACCAGCCCATTGTTTGAGAGCCAGGTGTTCACATCACTCGCGCTCCGCTGTGCAGTACGCCTAGCATAAGGCTAAGCGGAGCGCCACATAACGAGCAGTGTTGGTTATTTGCTTGGCGTTACCTAGCTGTTTCTAAAGCAATGGAAGAAGAAATTATTAATGCAGTATTTCAAAGAGAAGAAATATGGAACCCAAGACACAATAACTACAAAAATGTAACTGTTTTGCAGAAGAAGTGGATTGAAGTCTCTACAACAGTTGGCAAAATGGTAAGTTTTATTATATTCATACAGATACAGTAAACATATAATATTACTTCTATCCTCATACTTAAATGTATCTGATAAATGTAATTATTCTGCCAAGGTGCCATTAAAGAAATTGCAGAAAGTTTCTTGGATGTTTTTAGCTCTTTCTGAAGAACGGCACTGTGTTGGTGTATGAGGCCGTAATGTATCACCAAGTTGTGTAATCAGGTTATCATCTTTATTTTCTCTTTGGAAAGGTTCGTGGGTTAAAATGAAGTTGTGAAGGACGCAAATAGCTTTCACAATATTACTTGCATTTGAGACATCAGTTTCTATTGCTTTCAGCAAAACTCGCCACTTGCTACACATAATACCAAAGGCTCATTCTACACTTCATCTTCTTACCCTTGAGAGCCGATAATTATAAATACGTTTCCGATTGTCCAAAATTCTTTTGGGATATGGTCTCATCAAGTACTGTAAAAGAGGGTATGCTTCATCACCGACCATGACAAAAGGAGTGATCTCCTGTGTCTATGGGAGTTCTCTTGCTGCTGGAATATTTAGTTTGCTGTTTTCCAATAATTTGTATAACGAGGTAGTTCTAAAATTCCCTCCATCACTTTGACGTCCAACAGCCCCAATATCAACAGCCAACAGCTTGCAATCTGCATCAACAAGAGCTTGTAACAATATTGAAAAATATTGTTTATAATTATAATATAAAGAGCCGGATTTAGCCGGACATTTAATTTCGACGTGTTTGCCGTCCAGTGCTCCTAGACAATTGAGAAAATTGCATTTCTCCCAATATTTTTCTGCTACTTGTCGCCACATTTCAGTTGTAGGGGTTGGCAGGTATGTCGCTCGTAAAACATTCCATATTGTGATACAAGTCTGTTTAATAATTTGAGAAACTGTCGACACGCCCAGTCGAAAGTGAAGCGCCAAAGAATGAAATGACTCTCCAGTGGCAAGATATCTGAAAGAAATAGCAACTGGCTTCATTGAATTAGAAATATATTTAGAATCGTTGTAATAAATATACATCTGTAAGTCACATTTTTCATAATTGTGTAGATTGAAAAATCAGTACAATTACTCAGTTTCTCATTCAGGCTAATTCTTTGTTTATATTTCAGTTAAAACTGTGAAAGCCAAATGGAAATATCTCAGAGATTACTTCCATCGAGAGTGCAAAAAACT